TATTGATAGTGAGTAAATCAAAATATTTGACCAATTTGACAAAACAGTCAAACAAATTAACAAAGTCTAAACTATTTAATTGATAACTCTAAATTGTCCCTAGGTGTGAGTGAGAGAGTGAATGGTTGTTTGTCTCGTTTGTCTCTATGTGTGGCCCTGTGATGGACTTGTGACCTGTCCAGGGTGTACCCCGCCCCTCGCACAACCAGTGACCCACGCAACCCTGAAAAAAGGAAGAAGCATGTACAGAAAATGGATGGATGGATAAACATCCTTCAGTATTTTTAAAGTCTTTGTTTTACAGTTAAAATGATCAAATAAAGTCTAATGTTACAACTAATCCTGGATCCCTTTAAATTCAACCAATCTTTCAGGCTTCTCTTTTGTGTTATCTTTCTTTTTGTTCAGAGATTTCACTTCATTTTCAAGTGACTTTCTCCAATGAAAGTATTGTTTTAGTTTCTTTTATTAATAAATGTTGTAGAAAGCTGAAATCTGAGACCTCCTCTGTTTTTTTTTGTCCTTCTTTCCCCCACTCTCAAACAAAATCTGATMATTTTTGTTCTCAAAAGACTCCCTTTCTGGTTGTTTGTTTTGTAGTGTTGATGCACAGCTGTGTCTTGTCTTGAAGAGCTGTTTTTTCTTGTGTCGAGCCATGTGTATGTGGAGAAGTCTGTTTAGAAATATCTTCATGCATGTGACCAACGAAAATCTTTTGAGAGCCAGGCAAACAAAGACCCTGAACATTCTCTATTGTAAGGGGAGTAGTTTCCATGAGAATCAAATGCAATTTAAAAGTTTTCTGAATTGTGAAAGTTCCCTGGATGGAAAGTGAATTGCCAAGAAGTCCTGGTGTACAAAAGTATTATATTTTATAAAAACCTAAAGACGTGTCCACAAATTTCATCACTGGTCAGATTTGTGCATCACCAGACACTTGCATTTTCTACTTCTGGTTAACTGTGAGTAAGAACCTAATGAGTGTAGCAATCAATGAGACAGAGAAAAGAACAGATGGAGTGACTGTGTGAGTGAATGGCAGATGGAATGACTACAAGTGGTAGAATGACAGCAATCGAAGCAGAACTATGTGTGAAAAGTAGAATGATTCGTGCTGAATGAGCCCTGCGCATACAAACGTGTCATCAGTGCTGATGGGTTGTCCTGCCCTGTCCTGTCAAAGGACATAATTGGAATTCCACTGGTTTTCCTGTGGCATAATTAGCATGACCTTCAGCTGCTAATAGAGGAAGAATGGGGAAAGAAATTTTGTCTATCAAAGGGAGTAAAAATGGTGTAAATTTATGTGCAAATCAGGAAAGAAGAATAGAGTAAGGCAGGTGGCAAATGAACTTAGCATAAAAAGTAAAGACATTTGTATTTGGTAGAATATTCCTTTGTTGTAACAGTGCTTCCTGGAAAATAAATCTTACACCAGGCACTTGATTGGAAGTATCTGGGTGTACCAGAAGCTCAAAACAAGAGTCAACAACAG